AGTAAGGGAAACAGAGTTCGAAGCAGATAGGAAACAGACAGAAGTCTTTGGCTCAAGGATGCGTCTGGCCAGTAGACATGGGCTCTTGGTTTCACACAGCATTTTTTTTTTTCTTTTTAATAAATTTGGAATTAGTTACCAGTATTTAGAAATCGGGAGATGTCATAAGGCGCTTATTTCTGGCCTCCTGTGGCAGCTGTCTTTCCCACACGGCCACAGGAGGCAGAGCTGAGCAGGTCCCCCGACCCCAGCTCCACGCAGCATCGGAGTTGGTGACTCTTGCTCTAAACCAGGGAGATTATGAGTTGCGTCCAGAGGCTAAGTTTTGTGTTACTTTGAATATCTTTCAAACTGCAAAGTTTTTCTTACTGGAAATATTTTTTACCCTTAAACACTGGATTTTTTGCGTGCCTATTTGAATTACGATTTTAAAGATTATTTTATTGCTGTTTTTTAGAGAAGGGGTCTCGCTGTGTTGCCCAGGCTGGTCTCCAACTCCTGGGCTCAAGCGATCCTCCTGCGTCGGCCTCCCGAGTAGCTGGGACTACACGCATGCGCCACCAGGCCCGGCTAATTTTTTCTATTTATTTTTAGTTGTCCACCTAATTTCTTTCTATTTTTAGTAGAGACTGGGTCTCGCTGTTGCTCAGGCTGCTCTCGAACTCCCGACCTCGAGCGATCCTCCCGCCTCGGCCTCCCAGAGTGCTGGGCTCACAGGCGTCAGCCACTGCACCCGGTCTCAAAAATTTTTTTAAATTTGTTTAATAATGTTTTTCTGACACTGATAAAATCTGACAAAACTGGCCTTCACGTGGGCGCGTGTTGCTTAGAGGTGATAAAACGGAGACAAATTACCTTGGCATCTGTTTCGTGATCTGCCTTTTTTGAGGGGAGGAGGCAGGGCCGTCCCTTCGATGGCTGCAAGGTGGACAGAAACTTCTGGATCCCCCCAGAGAACAAAAAGGCAGGCCGCTGAGTGTCTTCAAACAGGAGCCCTGCCCACCCTCCTCCGCTCTGGAATCCCTCTGTAGCTGGCAGAGCGGGTCGGGGACCAGCAGGACGGCGACCGGGAATAAAAAGCTGAGGAGTCTGAGCTGTTTCCTTGTAGCGATGAAGGTGCCTGTCAGGGGATCTTGAAACCCGAGCCAGCAGATGAAACTCCCGTGTCATCCGTGTCGTCGCTGCCAGAGACAGCGCCAGCCCAGCCCCGTCCCGGCCAACAGCCGGTTCCTTTGTCCGCCGGCCCCGTCCCCCGCCCGCCTGTCAGCACGCAGCGACTCCGCGAGCAAACGCGGGGACTAGCGAGACACGGGAATGTCTTTCTTCCCGTCCCCGAGGAATTCGATGTCACGGTCATCTGACAGTAAACAGAGCAAGCATTCCGTCGGCAGGAGTTTATCTCTGGGGGATATAAAAGGTTCGATTTTTTTAAAAAAAAAAAAAAGAAGCGAAGTTCACTTTGTCACAATCTTCCGCTGTATTCGCGCCGTTGGGAAAACGTCTCGACGTTTGGGGACGAAGAATTCGGAAAGGCGAACACGAACTGTGTCCTCTCGTTGGAGCTCTGCCAAGACTGCCATTTATTCGTAGGCTATCAGATGGAACGAAGGGACCGGACCACTTTCCCTTAACTCTGATACCTGCGAGTCTTGGCCCTGATGGGGTTTCTGGGGTAAAGAAGGCACCTGGCCCGGCGATAAGATAATGGCCACTTTTGAAACTGGCAAAGCATTATTGGAAGTGCCCGACACCATAGCCGGTGTCACTGGGATAGTCCCGTATCAGAATACGAGACGGCTTAACGGTGAGGACGCCAAATGCATATCAGGGCTTCCCGCCATGAGAAGGGGTTTGTATCTCCAGATTGGTGGGGAGGACAGAGTTCTTCGTTTATTCTTTTTTTTTGAGACACAGTCTCACTGTGTTGCCCGGGCTAGAGTGCCGTGGTGTCAGCCTCGCTCACAGCGACCTCTAACTCCTGGGCTCAAGCGATCCTCCTGCCTCAGCCTCCCAAGTAGCTGGGACTACGGGCATGCGCTACCAGGCCCGGCTAATTTTTCTTATTTTCTGTAGAGGTGGGGTCTCGCTATGTTGCCCAGGCTGGTCTCGAACTCCTGACCTCCAGCGATCCTCCCGCCTCGGCCTCCCAGAGTGCTGGGCTCACAGGCGTGAGCCACCGCGCCCGGCCTCCATTTTTGTATTTATGTCGCCTTTCTACCCACGATGACACCCTCGAACGCATGTTACTAAGGCCGATGGGTCAGTTCTTACGACACAGAGGTTTTCGGCTACCAAGGCTGTCACCGAGTGACAGGCAGACAGGTTGGGAGAGAGGATCCCGCTTCTCACGGTG